GCCTATGTGGACTGTCTCACCTCACACACCGCCATCTGGCCCATGAGAACAGCATGAGGGATCTGGTCAATGCTTGGCTAAAATCATCTCTGAAGAGGAAGCAAGAACATGCATCTATGTCTCTTTTTGGCAGAACTGGAGGACTGTGGGTGGGGCACGCTGCTCACCCCATCACACGTGTTTGGTATGTTGGTTTACTTTGCTGAATTGTTTGTACCTTTTTCTTTTTTATTCTTTGTTATAAGAGATGGCTCCTTGGGGAATGAATGAGGAGGGGTTCATTTAGAAATAAAGGCAATAAAGAAACAAAAGATAAATACAATTTTTAAATATTAGATAAAAATCTGAGCAAGGGACACAATCTTAAATCTTCTTACAGAGCTTGGGGGAGGAATTGGAACCAAAGATTAGCTATGTGACCCTGGACAAGTCATTTTTCCCCTCTGAGTCTCATTTTCCTCATCATCAAACTCTGCTCCAGATCTAACCCATGATGGCATCCCACGATGCCTATCAAATTAAGTTTCCTTTCCTGGCATTCAAGGCTCTCTAGAGCCCAGCCCCATCAGCCCCATACAACCTCCTCCATTCCATCCCTCCTAGGTGCACACCTTCAACACTGGCTGAATCTAACGTCTAGGCTTTGCTCCTCCCCCTAAATATTCTCCTCTTCTCCTCTTGAATTTCTACTTCCATCAAACCCCCAGGCTGACCTCTGCCCCCCGAGCAAAAAGCAGCACATTTCAAAGGCCCAGAGAAGATCAGTGTCTTGGCCCAGATCTGAACCCAGGTCTTCTGGTTCCTCCACTCCAGGTAGTGGAGAGAGCCCTGGCTTGGGAGTCAGGAGATGCTGCTTGGATAACTACCAGCTGTGGGACCTCGGCCAGCTCATTGTCCCTCCATGGCCCCTGATTTCTTCATCTGTCAAATGGGCCTGCAACCCCTCTCTCACAAGCCACTTTGAGGATCCAGGGAGGTAAAGGGGTCAGAGATCTTGGGGATCACACATGCCTCATGGTGACGTCAGCAGTGGCAGTGGGGAAAGGAAGGAACATGAGCGTGGCCTTCATCTCCAAGCGAGCGATGCTCTGCCTTCCAAAGCAGGGGGCAGAGTACAGATTTCTCACATTTCTACAGCCTTTGTAGTTTGACAAGCTCCTCTCCTTCAAAGAGCCTTTGGGGAGGCAGCGTACAGTACAGAGTGTGCTGGATCTGAAGAGAGAGGACCTGAGTTCCAATCTACCACTCACTAGAACAGCAGCCTTGGGTGAGCCGCTGACCTTCTCTGGGCCTCAGTTTTCTGACCTTTAAAATGATGGGGCTGGACCCCAGCGTCTCTGAGGTCCCTGCCAATGGCCAGCAAAGGATTCTCTAAGTAGGTCTAAAAGGATTATATTCCCATTCTCCCTATGAAGAGCCTGGGGCTTTAGAGGTCACATAGCCAGGAAGGGTCAGAGTGGGGATTTGAACCCATATCTCTCCTGACTCCAGGGCCATCCTTCTTTCCACTTATTGTCAGAGTCTTGTGACAGTTGGGGGTGCTCACGGAAACCTGGGGGACCACAGTGCTTCTCTGCAGCACAAGGCGCTGCTTAGAAAACCCAGAGGTTACCAAGGAAGTACAAAACTCACCCTGAGCCTGTGTTGCTAAGCAACCTGCACCAACTGGCCCAAATAGTGCGCACTTGGTTACCTTTAACTTTAGAAATAATGATGCAGAGAATATTAACAATAATCTGCATCATGGCCTTGGACTCTTGGATAGGTGGCCGGGTCAAGGCAGGTGAGGCAGCGGTGGGGGTGTGGAAGTGAATGGGCTGCTGCTCCATGCTCGGCCAGCTGGCCTCCCCACAGAGAAGCCTTCTGACAAAGAAAGCTGCATGTTCTGGCAGGGAGAGCTGGCAGAGAGAGCTGTTAGGGCACCCAGGTTCAAATTCTACTCCATGACCTTGGGCAAGTCACCTAAATTCCCTGGACCTCAGTTTCTTCATCTGTAAAGTGAGGGCTTTGGACTAGATGGACTTTGAGGCCTTTCTCTCCTCCTTCAGTGGACTTCCTGCACCCAGCACCTAGGCCGGAAGTCACACTCCCTACCAGAAGGAACGAGCACTGATTGTGGAAGCAGAGGCTAGGGAGCTGAATTCCAATCTTGCCACTGACCACCAGGGGCCACTTCACCTCTGGCCATCAGTGGGCTCAGTGTGAGGCATTTGGACTGGGAGACATTCAAGGTGCTTTCAGCTCCAAAGATTCAATTCTTCAATGTGGCTGTGTGACCTTAGGGAGGTCACCCCTCTCTCTGAGCATCAGTGACCTTGCCTGTTAAATGATCAGTTGGGACGTGGCACAGCTTGCTTACCCATCCAACCTGGGATGTGTCTGGAGAAGAATCTGTCTGAAGCAAATGCTTTAATGCCCTAGCTTGTGAAGCTAAAGAAGGAGGAGGGGATGCCAAGTGAAATAAGCCCAGAAACCTGAAAACAAGATTTCCTAGAATGTGAACCACTGTCCTGAGGACAAAGGCCTGTGCTGGGAGTTAGGAGACCTGGGTTCCCAGACCCTTCCCATCTCTGGCCTTTGGGTTTCTCACCTGCCAAATGAGGGCTATGATAGCTAAGGTCAATTCCAGCTCTAAGATTCTATGATGCCATGGTCCCAGAGTAAAATTGCGGGAGCTAAATTTAGCATCCTGGCTAGGAACATTCAATTGGTAAGTGACTCCAAGGCCCAAGAAAAGGTAAGAAAGGATGGAGAGAGAAAAGGAAAGGAGACAGGAAAAGAGGGAAGGAGGAGAGAACAGGACTATGAGAGTGGAAGGCGAAAGCAGACAGGGAGAAGGATGGAGGAGAGAAGAGAAGGAGAAAGACAGGAAAAGGAGTCAGAGAATGAGAGCAAGAGGGAGGCTGATATATTTGGGCACAAGAAATAGAAATTAAAGCAGAGACATGAGTGAAGGAGACAGGAAAGTACTATTACAAACAACAACAACCACCTTCCCACAAAACTTCGGGAAGAAAAGCTCAGCAAAGCTCTTGGCCATCTGATTACTCTGCTGGGAAGTCTCCCCCCAAAATAGGAAGGCCCTGGGCTATGGCCAGTGTGACCAGCAGCATTCAGTGACAGGCTAGATCTAGAAAACAAACCTCCTGCCCTGACATCATTCAGTTTCACTGTCAATGACAGGCTTTGGCAATCAGAGTGCTCACTTTTCAAAATAACAGTTCTGTCGACTGCATAAGATCATTCTCCACGTTGCCTTCTTTCTCTGGAACTTGCAGCATTTCCCCAGAATGTTGGATTGTGTGACCTTAGGCAAGTCACAAGCCTCTAGGGAGTTCTGTTTACCCATCTGTATAATGTGGGTGGGGTTTGGTTACGGTCCTTCCAGCTCTTAACTAGGAGCTAGGAGGTCAGGCTGTCTCACCCTGTTATTCTGTACTAATAAAATATTAACAGCATAGAGTTATTGTTGTTGTTGTCGTTTTTAATCGCCTGGGGTTGAGGAACTCGAATGTAAGGCAACAACAGTCAGGATTATTTCTGTGCCTCTAGAAACTCTTCCAGGGGCTCTGAGAAGACTAGCCCTGACGGCGCTCATTTATTGTTTAAATTATTTATCACAAGCAGGAGGAGCCTTGGAGAATGGCTCAGGAACAGCTTGGACAAGTGAGCCCAGTGATTTCTTCTTCCCTCCTCCACCACACACACACACACACACACACACACACACACACACAAGCTCTATCTGTCACCCACATACACAGATCCAGTCGTGTGTGTGTGTGTGTGTGTGTGTGTGTGTGTGTGTGTGTGTGTGTGTGTACCCACCTGGCCGGGGGCATCTCCCTGAGGACAGCAGAGGAAGTTTCATCACAAACAGCTGCTCGTTCACTACTCCTACCTCACGGTCAATTCCACCCGTCTTTCCCAAGCGGCCAAAGCTCGCTCCCTTCCACCCCCAGAGTGGCCAGAGCGCGTCTGTGAGCGGCCTTGGGAGCTCGAGGGCCTGGCTTCCACGTTCCTCGCTCGGTGCGTGGGTGACCTTGAGCGAGTCCCTTTCCCTTTCTCGGACTGCCTCGCTTTCCTCTCCTGTTCCAGGTGGGTGGAGGTAGGGGGTTGGGGAAGTCCCCTTAGAAGCTTCTGCCTGCTTGGGATGCAGGGCTCGGGAGGGACCTCCTCCCCGGGCTCCTGGGCATCTCACAGCCACCCGAGAGGGAGGGAGGGAGGGAGCTAGCTGTCAGCAACGCGCACACTTCCGCCCCCCCCCAAAGTCCCGGCCAACAGACCCGGGCAGGTGCGCACTGCCGCACAAGCCCTCACGGAAACTAAAGCATCCAGGCGCAGCCACACAGGTACACAGAGGGGTAAGCACGCGGAAATACAAGCGAACCCCCCCCCAGTACAAAGACAGACACACATGCACAAGTGCAGACAAGCGCACCCCAGACACACGTACACACACGCACACACAATCACACGCGCAAGCGCGCGCACGCACACACACACACACACGTCTGCTCACCGGCAGCCCGGGATGCGCAGGATCTCTAGTCCGGATCAGTGGGCCAGTCTCCTGCCGCCCGGCCGGGCATCTGAGGGGCGCGGAGAGCAAGCCGAGCAAAGGAAGAACCGGGGCGCCTAGCCGCCCACCAGCCCGTCCCGCTGCCCGCTGCCGGCTGCCCTTCCCAGCCTGCCACCGGCAGCAGGTTCCCCAGGGGTTGCTGCTCCTTCCTCCCTGGCTCTCCCCGATAGCGATCGTGCGTCCAGGGCAGCCCCCGCCTCCTGCTCTTCTTCTCGGCGCTGCTGTGGCTTGCGTCTCCCTCCCAGGCACCCCTGGGCAGCCGCTGGGCCGGTTACCTGCTGCGAGCGCGGCCAGAAGCACCCTCCCGGCCAGAATCCCGGGAGTCAATGGCCCCCGGCCCGGCCCCGCCCCGGAGCCGCCTCGGCCCGGTCCCGCCCCCGCCCCGCCTCCTCCTTTTCTTCCTCCTCCTCCCGCGGCCGCCACGGCGGCATCCCGAGGCCGCGGGCAGGTAAAGTGAGGCACCTTCCCAAGAGCGCAGGGTCAGGCCCCGCGGCGCCCGCCGGCCGTGGTCTAGGAGCTGAGAAACGATACCCCTGCTGCGATGGGCTCCGAGGGGAGACCCGAGAGCCAGGGGAGAGCCAGGGCTGTTCCCTGGATTAAAGCTCAGCCTTGACCGTCCTGGCAGAAAACAGGAAGCGACCGCGCTGGCTCCCAGAGTATGCAAGCTCCTTGTGGCCAGGGCTAGAGAGCTGTCCTCCCGGCCAGGCAGACCTGTCCTGGGCTCCTGCCCTGCTTCTGACACTTACTGACTGTGTGACCTTGGGCAAGTGACTTAACGTGTCGGGGCTCCTGGCGACTCTCCAAGACTGCCCATCGCAGAGAAGAGAGCGCCAGGCCGCATCTCTGGAGGGATCTTTCTGTTCCTACATTTATGAACTCTCAGGACTAGTCCTGTTCCCTGCCCGGTCTTGGCCCCAGCAAACAAGAGCACAACCTCTGGTAAATAAATGCTTCTTAAGTAATTGATTAATCGAGCAGGGGACTGGTTAAATAAATTGCGCTTCGCCGATGCGATGGAATCTTACTTTTTTCATTTTAATTTTCAATGAATAAGCATTGATTTTCTTTCCTTTCCACCCCTCCCAATTTAAAAGAAGAAACCAAAACTCAGACCTTGGTAACAAGTAAGCATAGTCAAGCAAACACACAAAATCTCACCCTGTCCATGTGGTGCGTTCTGCATCTGGGATCCATCACCTCTCTGGAGCTGGAGGCATGTTCCTTCCTGAGGCCTCTGGGATCCTCTGATAAGAGACCTTGAGCAGTTCAGAATTGTTTATCTTTACACCGTTGTTGTCCTTGTATACTACTGTTCTACTGGTTCTGCTCTTTCCACTTTGCATCAGTTCATACAAGTCTTGCCGCGGTTCTCTGAAATCATCTCTTTTCTAATTTCTTGGAGCAAAATAGTATCCGTTACATTCCTAGACCATAATTTGTGCAGCCATTCCCCGAGCGATGGGCACCTCTCTTAGTCGGCAATCCTTTGCCTCCACGAAAAGAGCTCCTAAAATGTTTTTGTCCTTCCGGCTCCTTTTCCTCGTTCTTTGATCTCTTTGGGGAAACGTCAATAATAATATTTACATAGCACTATGCTCCACTTCACCTCATTTGAATCTCACAAGAAGCGCCAGAAGGAGGTTATCTCCATTTTACAGATGGGGAAACTCAGGCTTGGAGGAGTTAAGGGGGTTGCCCAGGGTCATGAAGCTAGTCAGTGTTTGAGAATGGATTTGAATTCAAGTCTTTCTGATTCCTGGCTCTAACCACTGAACCATGTAGTAGTAGTAGTAGTAGTAGTAGTAGTAGTAGTAGTAGTAGTAGTAGTGCTGGTGGTGGTGGTGGTAGTAGTAGTGGTACTGGTAGTAGTAGTAGTAGTAGTAGTAGTAGTAGTAGTAGTAGTAGTAGTAGTGCTGGTGGTGGTGGTGGTAGTAGTAGTGGTACTGGTAGTAGTAGTAGTAGTAGTAGTAATAGTAATAAGTTGGAGGCAGATTATATAGTACTTTATATAGTACTTTATGTATAGTACATTTACATAGAACTTTCAGATTTGTAAAGTGCTGTGCATCTGCCACCTCATTTAATCCTCACTACAACCCTGGGAAGTAGGTGCTATTCCCATTTTACAGATGAGGAAATTGTTGAGAAAAGCTAAGTGACCTGCCCAGAGTCACACAGCCAGTAAGTATCTGAGGCCAGATTTGAACTCAGGTCATCCTGACTCAAGGTCCATTCCTTTATGTCCGGCTAGCTGCCTCACAGAGGTGACAGGAAAAGTGAATGAGAATGAATAGACAACCAAAGAATCCTGTTAGAGACTTAGAGGGATTGAGGGGAAAGGTTTGTTTTTTAATTCATTTAATTAATTAATCTAAATGTAAATCTTTACTAAGGAAAGCAAATTACCTGTATTAGTGTTCAACAGTAGGTTTTTAATGAATCATTTAAAAAGATAAATCAACAATTGTTTATTAAAAATTCTAGGTACCAGAGAAGAAAAGACAAGAACAAAATGGGCCTGTCTGCAATATTCTTTGGAGGAGGAAAAAAAAATGTGTGAGTATATGTAAGCATGAACTGTACACAAAATAAATCGAAGTAATTTGGAGGTCTGCATTAGCAGCAGGGGGAAATCAGGAAAGGCTGCATGTAGGAGGTGGCATTTGAGCTTTAAAGAATGCTAGGGACGGATTCTAAGAGGCAGAGGGAAGGATGTGCATTCTGGACATGGACATCCTACCAGGGGAAGGGAGCAGCCTATGCAAAGTTGCTGAGGCAGGAGGTGGAATGTCCTAAATGAAGACAATTGTAGCTTAGGCATCAAAATCTACTGCCAAGGGTGAAAAGCAAAGAAATTCTACAAAGAATTCAATAAGGCCATCCAGAATAAATCGGAATTGGAAGGTCTTGAGCAAGGCAACACCCCCCTTCTCCCAGAAAAAGAAAATTATGACATCTCAAAAAACAGGAAAGAAGCTTATGTAGTGGGAACTGTGTGCTCTTAGACCATTAATTGAGGAGAAAAAATAAACCAAAATCAACACCGTAATAGAAGAATAAAGGTTAGGAGATTTGGCACAATCTTAAGAAGAAGGTAGCAGAGTATGGAGGAAACAGTGGATTTGGGCTGGAAGTCTGGGTTCTCATCTCAGCTTTACCATTTTACTAAGTCGCTTAGTAACCTTATGCCCCAGTTTCCTCATTTGTAAAATAAGGGAACTGGCCCCGATGGCCTCCAAGTTCTCTTCTGGCTCTAAGTAGGAGCCTATAAAATAGCTCAAGTCTGACCCAAATGAGATATTGATCCTGAACTTGGGAAATGGAGAAAGTAACAAATAACAATAGAGACCATCACCATTTCCTCAATAATTGTTGTAGAGTAATTACCAGAACAAGGAAGCTAAAAGAACAGAGAAGCCACACCAACCAGCCTTGCCAAGGGGAGAGATAGAACAGCCAAGGGCAACACCAATCTAGAATATAAATTGATTTGCAAAATCTAATGGAGAAAGAAATCGGAGAATTAGGAACAGTCTCGACTCATGAAACAGCAGCGGGGAGTGGTGGAGTAAAAAGCGACATTCCAGAAAGATTGGCAGGAGGCTCAGTTAATGGAGCCAATTCATCTCCTTGTAGGATGGACCTGGAAGAAAGACAAACAGGTAAAGAAGGGGGTGATCTGTTGATTTTTCTATGATCAATGGTTTGCTCCATCAATGATGGTTGAGTCACTACACTTGTGCTGAGGGGACAAAATGGTGAGATGGCCTGAGTAGATGACTGAATGGTGGGGAAGATGGAGGAAAGGTGGGTCCAGTGTCCAGGACCAGCCAGTAGACAGAGTGGCCCAAATGGGTCAGTTTGCTCACACTCAGCCACCAGCCAACTGGACTGGGCCCCAGTGAAGGGGACAGTAAATCAGAGAAGGCCGAGGGGCCATGGTAAACAACAGCAGTCTTCCAAGTGTTTGAAGGACTTCCACAAGGAAGGGGGATTAGCCAGCTTGGAATTAGGAGCAGAGGGCAGAAACTGCAAACAGGCAGCTTTAAATTGGGTGTCAGGGAAAACCTCCTGATAATCTGAGCTGTCCCAAGGATGAATGAGCTGCTCTGGGAGGAGGTGGAGTCTTCCTCCATGGAGGTCTTCCTGAAGAGTCAGATAGCTACTCACTGATGATGCTTTCAGGGGATGCTTGTTCAGGTGTAGACTGGCCCCAGAGGTCCCTCCCAGACTCCAAGCCTGTGGTATAAGCATCTAGCTGACCTTGCCTTCAGGTCTCTGTTTTCCCCTCTAGATCTGTGCGCTCTTCTCTTAAGCTCTTGGACCTGAAAGTGACAGGAAAGCCCAGAATTGTCACTCTGAGGGAGCTTCCTAAAAAGACAGAAGGTATCTGGCTATGGCCAATGGCTTCTGGGATGGCCTTGGAGTCAGGAAGACCTGGGTTCAAGACCTGCCTCTGACACACACACACACACACACACACACACACACACACACACACACACACTAGCTGTGTGACCTTGGGTAAGTCACTTAATTTCTCAATGACCCAGGCCACTTTCTAAGACTGTTGCAGTGGAGTTGCTGATTTGCAGCTGTATCAGTAGATGGACTTTCCACACTGGGAATTCTCTGCTCTGATGAGACTACCTGCCACTAGACTAAGAGATCCATGAGGGCCAGTTTCTTGCCTCCAGCTTCAACATTGTACCTGGAACATAAAAGATGCTTAAAAATTGCCATTTATTGACTCCCTACCCTTCCTCTCCACCTCCCTGTGCTTGGCACAGGAGCAGCACAAAGTTTAAGACAACATTCCTGACTTCATGGAGCTTTCAGTCTGCTAGGGAGAGGGGACACACACACACACACACACACACACACACACACACACACACAGAGTTACAATGCAAGGTGTTTTTTTTTTTAATAGTTGCATTCAAAAAGTGAGGGCAGAGTGCTCCTTTGGCTCTGAGGGAGAAAGGCCATCGCCAGCTCATGGCTCCATGGCTTTTACCACGAGGCCCAAGCAAGCTGCCCTCTGGCCTTTGATCTTCCTGCCTCCTGGTCACTTGGTTTCTCTGAATTGTCTGGGAGCTCTGGCCCAGGACCAGTACTCTATTGGCAAAGTGGCCCTGATGGCCATAGCCTACAGCCAGTGGTAAATGGCCTTCCATGGAGAGCCAACCACACCAGCCCACACAGCAGAAGGCTAGATCCTCAAATCCCCATTTTCTCCCAACATTTACAATACTAAAAATGTCCTGGCCCCACAGGCTTTTCTGCATATTTACCTCCAGCTCCAGTAATTAGACACTAAAGCCTCTCCTCCCCTCCTTCAACCATTGCACCAGGCCAGAGATGTAAAGCTGGGAGGAGCCTCACAATTGCTGAAATCAGGCATAGAGTGGGAGGGGACTTTAGAGGTCAATTCCCTTTTCAACTGAGAAGGAAACTGAGGCTTGGGAAAAGAATGGTATGGAAAGTCGTTTATCAAATAGTTACCATGCCAACCACTGGGGGAACAAATGAAAAACTGAAACAATACTTGCTTTCACCAAATTCCTGAGCCATTCCAGAGTTTAATCTTAGTTCCAACCAAGCAACCAGGCGTGGTCTGCTTAACAGCTGAGCGTCCCTCCAAGAATGGCTAACCAGTGTTCATCACCCAGGTGCAGAGCACCACGGCCTGCACGATGGCTGCTGGATCCTCACAGGGGCTGGGGGGATGGGAGAATAGATCAATGACTGCAGTAGGATGGCAGAAAGATGTCCTGGTCCAAGTTGGTTTTCTCTACCCAGGAAAATGACCTTCAGACTGGGAAGGGACAGATAGGGAAAGGGGGTGGAGCTATGGCATAGGGAACTCCCAGAAGGGAATGAATGAATGAATGGAAGAAAAAGTATTTATTAAGCACTTACTGTATGCCAGGGACTGTGCAAAGCCCTGGAACTAAAAATACAAATGGGAAACAGTCCCTGCTCTTGAGAAGCTCACCTTCCAATAAAGGAAGACTCCATTTAAAAGCGATTTCAGCTGCCCATGGGAGGAAAGTCCTCATGGTCCTTAGGAGGCAGCAGCAAAGTGGAAGCTCAGATCTCTTCCTTCATAGCATTTCCGCTGATAAAATGTTAGCAGTTTCTGACGTGGAGCCATTTGGCCAAGGACTTTGGCCCGAGCTTTCTGTTTTCTGAGTCTTCAGGAGCTGGGGCTGCTGGGGTAGGGGAATGAGTGGGCTGCTCCACCCACAGAGACAACCCACAGGTTGAATCTCCACTAGAATTGTTCCCCTGGAAGATGTCTGAGTAAAAAAGGCAGAATAAAAATGGGAAATTGAAAGGCAAATTAAGTGATGAGATAAGCAGAGGCTTGCTAGCTGCCTTCAGTGAGTTCAAGATACCAGCCTCCAGTGAGGGACTCAGGAGTCTGGGCTTGCCTGTTGGTCCTTTAACACTTATCTTGGTGACCTGGATGAGGGGGATGGTATCATACTTCTTAAATTTGCAGATGACACAAGACTGGGAGGGGTGGCTGCATGTTTAATAATAGAATCAGGATTCCCAAGGAGCTTGATTGGGTAATATTGAATGAATGTAATCAAATGACATTTAATAGCTATAAATATAAAGTCTTACTCATAGGTTTAAAAAATCAGCTTACACACATACAGACTGGGAGCACCCTGGTTGGTCCTGTGAAGAAGTTGGGGTTGTAATAAACTTCAGACACACTAAGGGTTGATAGGGTAACAGGAAAGGCAAAAAAAGATGGTGAATTCATGGGCTCCATGGATTGCAACAGTGCCCTGATTGAGGTTGTGTGAGAGGTGGCCTTGTAGGTGTGGATTGGTGTTTTCAGAAGGAATGGGGCTTTCAGGCATCATGGGAAACTGTAAATGAAAGCCCAGAGGCTGGAGGGACCTAGAACATGCTCCACAGTATTCTTCCCTCTTCCTATCATCACTATGGCATATACATACCCATTGTCTTCCCCCAGAGAATAGAAACGTCTCATGGACAGGGATTACAATTTCTGTCCCTGTATTTCCAGAATTTAGGACAATGCCTGGAACAAAGTATGTGCCTAATAAATGTTTGTTGATGCACTGATTTATACTCTGAATATACTAATATATCTACATGATGTCTCCCCTACCAGAATATAAGCTCCTTGAGGGCAGGAACTGTTCACTTTTCTTTGTATTCATAACAGCTCATATAATGTGGGGTATACAGCAGATGCTTAATTAATGCTTATTGATTACTGGATAGATTGGTCCCAGATGTTGCTTGCTTCTGTATGGATACAGGTCCTTATAGTAAGCCATCTACCTAGAACCTAATCTGTGCCTCTCCAAATCCTTATCCTTTTTCACTGATTGTTGAAGGAGGCTGAGGAAAGGAAGGTGTTGGGGGTAGGGGTGTCTCTCTTGGGAGGCTCCACATCTATTCCATATTTCTGAACTGATGAAGGTGGTGCATTGCTTTCATTTCAACAAATGGGGCTTCAAGAACCAGAGCGATGCTTTTAGGAGGGCATGAAGTACCCACTACCA